CTCTGTCTCTGGTGAATCCTCTCACCGCCCCTGTTCCTCTGGCCTGTACCCCAGTTCTGCCTGTACCCCAGTTCTGCATGTACAAATAAATAAATCTTAAACAAACAAACAAAACAGAGCAAGTGTCTGGGCAGCTCTCCTGCCTACCTGTGACCATGCAGGTGCCTCTTTGTCTCCTTTTCCTAGTAAAGCTGCCGCTTTAAGATGCGGGGGGAGGAGCAAGCCTTGGATTACACATGCTGGAGAACAACGCGGGTTCTCAAGTGGAGGACAACCAAGATTGCTGTTACCAACCAAGGTCTTTTCTCCATGCAGATGGAAAGGGAGCTGGTTGCAGGAGAAACTACTAAGGGGGAAGTATTCTAATCACTTAAAATCAAGGCAAATCATGTAAGTTTAGTTTAAATAATGGCATATTTCAGGAAGCCCTAACTATGTAGCAAGGTTCCAGGGAAGGCAGTAGCTTTTACTTTTTATATATTTCAACTTCGCTGCTATAGACGAAGCATCTGAAAGCAGCGGCTCACATGGCCTGGGGTCCTGGGCATGTTAGCACAGGTGTCCTTCCTGTCCCGAGTGCACCTGTCATTGCCCCCTGGGGACCCTCTGCTCGACCTCTGGGCACCACCTTTGACTTCCGTGTGGGCAGCACTCTTTCAGCTTCTGTCCTGACTGTACAGTGGCAACCCCTCCCTGAGTGCAGCCAACTCCCGAAACCCACAGGTGACGGGGTACCTGGCACTGTGCTGTCCAAACAGCACCAGCTCCCAGTTGTGGGGACCATGTCAGGATGGGGCATGGAGGCTCCCTCCCTGACCTTGCATCACAGCTCGAGGGGACACTGGTGAGGTCACACACGTGAGCCCCCGGCTGCCACGTGAGGGGTGACTGTGAGAAGCACGCCCACAGGCAGAGCATGGTAAGCATGATCTTGGAGGAAGGGAGACCTCGGGGAGGCCCCAGGGGCACCAGCCAGGAAGCTTCCCCGCCGAGCCCAGCTCAAGGCAGGGCTGGCCCCGCCAAGGCCTGACGTGCACAGTGGTGCGCCTACAGGGCTTTTTCAAGGAGTGGGTGCGGGCGCGACACTCACGGGCCCACTCCCTGCTGTCAGGTTCTGCAGCGCACCCAGTGCGGCCTCCTGTGTGTAGCTGCGGGTGCTCTTGGCGATCAGGGACAGGTACATCCGCGTCACAATGGAATGCCACAGCCACTCCACGCCCTTGGGGTTGCTCTTCTCCTCCGGCATTGGCAAATCTGGGTAGTGCTGCCAAAAGAGGGCATGTGGGGAAGAGAAGCCAGCGTGAGTGCCTGCAGTGCTCCCCCACGCTAGACCTGGACAGAGCCCACAGTCTCGGGGCTGCCCTAAACAAGGGCAGCAGGCAGGTGTGCACTGCTTCTAGGTGCTGAAGTCACAGCCGTGATGGCTTCTCCCTGAAGGTGCCCCATTGTGCCCCGAAACTTCACAGTGGGGGAGCACTCAGTGTAGACTGTTCTGGAATCATATTCAGGCTTCTGCTAAGCAAAGAGCTAAGTAAGTGATGGCCACCCTGTAGCTAAGAGGGGCAGCCACTCCCTCAGAGTCGTGAATCCTAAGGGGAGTCTAAGGTCCCCAGGTGATTTCCCGGTTCTCAGACATGGTGGTGAGCAGGGCTCACACTTGCCTGCGGGGCTTGCCTTTACTATGACCGAAGAATGTTTCCAATGCTCAAAGTCAAACAACACGGTTAGGAGGGCCTCCCTGGTGGTGCAGGGGTTAAGTCTCAGCACTATCAAGCTATTTCCAGCCATTACATCCTGAGTTTGATCTCCATCCCCAGCCAGGGAGCTGACCCACATGGCCCAGCAGACCTCTCCTCTCCTGTCTTGCTTGCTGCTCCCCTTGGGAGCAGTAGACTTGCCTGGTTCTGCTCCCCACTGTCTCTGGTGAATCCTCTCACTACTTGCACCAAATGGATACACCCCAGTTCTTGTATGCATAAATAAAATAAATCTAAAATAGCTTCTAAGAGAGGCAAGCACACCCATGTTCTCAGTGGCCCCACCTCAGTGCCCACCAGCAGGGGAGTGGATAAACAAACAAGGGAGCTTCCCTTAATGGAATACTATGCAGCTAGTAAAAAGACATGGCAGTGCCCCATGTTGGGACAAAATAGATGGACCTTGGGGGTGGCATTAAGAGAAGCAAGTCAGAAAGTGAAAGATACATATGGGATGGGTTCCTTCATTTGTGGAGTATAAACAACCCAGCTTATTGACTGGCAAATGATAATATACACTTGCAAAACAAGAATGATTCTTTCAGTCTGTGAAAAATATGCCAGTTACCCAAGGGGATGGGAGAGAGGAGTGGAGGGGGGGTAAATGGGAGAGAAGCAGGGTAGGTGGGAAGGGGTGGGAGGGCCAGGAGGGGTGGGAGTGGGGAGGGGTGGAGAGAGACGAAGGAGTGTGAGGGGTGGGCTTGGAGGGATGTAGGGGGAGGGGGAGGGGACAGGCTGCAGGCCAGTGGCACTTTCTGGAAACGGGCGGGAGCATGTGCCTGTGTAGTGGAGGAAGCAGTATGCCCCATGGTTGTGTTAATGTTGAATCAACAGGACTTGAGGGAAGCAGGACCACTGCTCTGGCCACGCTGCAGGAGCTCATCTCCTGGCCACAGGGCACGTGTGACTGGTACCTTCTGGTGACCTGCTGAATCAATCTGGAAAAATCAACCTGCTGCTCTACAGCTCCACTTTCTCCAGCAAACGAGGGTGTCGATTATCACGGGGTGATGTGGGACCAGAGGCTCTCAGCGGCGCCGGCGTCCCTCCCCCGTGAGGGCACGCTCAGGAACTGGCTCACCTCTTTTATTTTCCTGCTCCGACTGCCGAAACACCCGATGCTCTTGTTGTCGTCGGCCTGCACCGTGCGGTTCTGAACGTAGATGCTCTGGGAGTACCTGTCTGGGAGCTCCGTCTCCAGCTGGTAGGAGAGGTTGTGCAGGATGCACACGCAGTTCTCCGTGGCCTGGGGAGACAAGCAGCTCTGACCTGACAGGCTCACCTCTGCGGGCCACAGCACCGGGCCAGTCGGTGTGGGTCCCAAGGGCCTACTGGGCAGGGCAGGGTGGACTGTGACTGCGGGCTGGGAGTGGACTGTGGGGGCTGGGGGTGGACTTCATGTCTGGAAGTGGACTGCAAGCTGGGAGTGGACTAAGAGGCCAGGAGTGGACTGAGGGCTGGAAGCAGAGGCTAGAACATGAGTGGCCGTGTGCACGGGGAGGTGGAGGCCCTTACACGGGGAGAGCCCCTCCAGTCCACACTGTGGGGTGTGTGCTCAAATGGCTCTGTACTCCAAAAGCCCAAGTGGTAGCCAGCGGGAGCTGGCAGGTAGGCGGGGCTGCTGCATGCAGGAGACCTCAGGGACCTGCTGTCATCACAAAGGGACCCTGTAGGGAGTGGAGGGCACATGCAGGGTTTCCAGGCAGGAAGCCCATGGGCCTGGGAAGGCGGAGAGGGAAGCAAAGCCAGCTGACTGGGCTCTGGGCTCATCTGGACGATGATGCAGTTATGGAGAACACCTACAGGGCTCCTCAGAGCGAGTAGAGAAGCACTGAAGTTCCTGGCTGACCGCCGCAGCTAACCTCCTGACAGATGGCCGCTTGGAGCCCTTAAGAGAGTGTTTGGAGTGGAATATGAGTCCACCTAAATTTTAGCATTTCCCAACCCATCAGGGAAACCTGGAGCCTAGCAATGGGCTGTGAACACCCCTGAGCCAGGAGACAGCTCCAGGGATCCTTAAACGCACAGTGGAGACAGGGAAGAGACGCGCCCCCCGGACACCTGACTTAAGCCATGCTACCTTGTCGTCTGGCTGGTAGTCTGCGATGGTGCCCCGGACGTAGTGGACCAGGGAGTCAATCAGCCCGTCGCTCCTCCGCATCACCTTCCTGCCCTCGGGGCCCGCGGAGCTCATGTTTCTAAGGGAGGGAGAGGCGAGAAGCAAAGGCGTTAGGATCAGGCTGCCTGCGCATCCTGGCGTCCCAATGGCGCACACAATCACCCCCGCCCCTCCGCGTCTGCAGGCCTGATGGAACGGCCCGGGTCAGCCAGTGTCACTTGCCTAGGGTCCCCCAATCCGGACATGCCGCTCACACCCTCCCTGAACACACCTTCCGGTCTAGTAAGCCTCCTGCCTACAGCGCTTCAGCACAAGGTGAGGGCGCCATCTACCTGAACTTGGCCACGTTTTGGAAGGGGCAGGAAGACCACAAAGGAGCAAATGGGACCACGGACTTGGCAGGGACCTGGCCCCGGCTCTGTCCTTGTGCCTTAACGTGGAGTTACCGGGACAAGCCTCCGTTTCCTCGCTTGCTGGGCACTGAGATCTTACGGGTCCTGCAGACCTCTGTACAGAGATGCGTTCGTGCCATATATGTGCCAGGTGTTCTTAACTGTGATCTCCTGTCACTGCAACAGCAGAGGTGCCGTGGGAAGGGCAGATTCTCAGCGTGCCAGGCCGGAGTCAAGAGTGTGACCTCGGCCGATGGCTGATCTCCTGAGCAGTGGAGTTCTCTGTAAGGTGACTGGGTCATCGGTGAGGCTGCTTCCTGGCAGAGCGTGGAAGCCCAGGGATGACGACAGCGCTGTGCTTGAGGGTCGGTCACGCTTCTGTTCTGGTGTTATCACCACTGTTTTCTTTGGCTCAAGTTTTCCTTGTTAGCATTAGCCACTTGACAATGGTTTTCCCCAAAAGGTTAGCATGGTGGTCAGTGCAAATGGCAAGAGAGTCTCCGGCAGGCTGCCTGAGACATGACCCTTGTTGCCTCTGAAGAGGACACAAAGTGTGTCTGCAACTTTTTAAGTTGTGGCAGCATCATTTTGAACCTCGCGGAAACCTGTAATTCAGACACCTCTCAGGTCCCATTGTCTTCATCTTTAAAATAATACACGGCACCCAGTAATTGCACAAGCTGCTCTGCCCCCAAATCCAGTGTGGGGCACGGGACTGCCAGCGGACAGACAGCCAGACTCTGAGCAAGAACCGCCCTGCCAGCCATGGGGGTCACACGGTGGACACTCCAGCAGATGGCCCACAGCTGATACCGCCCACATGGCTGCTTTGAACCCACAAAAATGCAAGTTCATGCTTCAACCTCATCATTGAGATAAGAGCAAGCTCTCTCAAACTGAGGACTTTAAATACTTTAAAAGTCGGCCAGGTAATTCAATACAGTAGGAAGTAAGTGACTGATTCAAGACTCACCTTCATACTGAATTTCCACTCTACTTGACAAACTCTGTCCATTAAAAAGAAAAGACAGGGTTGGGCTCAAGGACTGCAAATACAGTTGTTGGTACCAGTTTTTTTTCCTCAAGAGGTGATTGCTTCAGCCAAGAGCCTCAGTGTGCTGACTGTCTTTTAAGACCATAAAATTTTTAGAAGCAGTGGGGGGGGGCACTGAAAACATGGGAACACCGAGGGCCCAGAGGCTGAAGCGACGTCCCTGGTGACAGACACCGGTGGGGAAGGAGGTCCCCTCCCTCCTCAGCAGCAGACTCACGTCTGCTGTTTGCTCGGCAGCTACCGCAAACCTCCCAGTTCAAGACAGTGCGATCCTGCGGTTCAAAGCCTTCCTGTGGCCTTCCCTGCCTGTGGCTTGGAGAGATGGCAGCGGTTTCCTACAGAGGATGGGTCAAAGGCCTGTCCTCCTAGCTGAGACCCCCAAACCCTGCTGGCCTGGCTCTGCTAAGATGTTTATTTTGGGCAAGAACGGTAAGTCACTTTGGCAGGATGGCAGTTCACAGGCACTCACTTCTGCCCAGAGTTTGGTATTATCCAGGCACAACTGCTTGAAATGGGACTTATCAGGGGTTTCTGCCACTTAATAGCGTTGCTGACAGTGAGTGCCTGGAACCACTGCGCCAGCGTCTGCTTCTGCATTGCAGAAATAGTTCCCTCCTGACCCAACCGCCCAGAATGGAAACGATAAGGATAGATTATTTTATAGCACCATATCCACAAATAGTCAGCACTAGCCAGAGAAGAATTTGTTATGGAGGCATACTAAAAACAGGCAGCGATTATTAGACAATGACACATATCCATCGTAAAGTGTTTCTCCAACAGCTCTTTCTTTTTTTGAAAAATTTACTTATTTATGCATACAAGAACTGGGGTCTAGGTCAAAGGTGATGGGGGTGAGAGTATTCACCAGAGACAGAGTGGGGAGCAGAACAGGCAGGTCTACTGGTGGCATAGGGGTTAAAGTCTCAACAGCTCATTCTTAAGTTTGTGGGAGTCAGAGATTTAACATCGTGATTTTTAAGCAGGATTGATCCTTTTTTGACCTGTGTCCTGAATCCCAAAAAATACTGCATTATAATTTTTTATATAGGACCCAACAGAGTTGGATGTGGAAAAAAATTGTGAGACAGTATTAAACAGCAACGGATCAAAATAACGACCTTGTTGGATGTCAGAGTGTCTACAGACACTGCAGTCACTCAATAAAAGTGCCCAGGTACCAGTGGGCATGCTGGATGTGTCTCGTTTACTGTCTTGGACCTGACTGGGTCAAGGGCTGGGTTAACTGCCCCAATCTGGCCAAAGTCTGAGTAAAATACAGCACCTTTCAGAAAACTGCCCCTGAATAAGAACAAGGTCCTGGGGCAGGTCACCACCCTTCCCATGGCGGGGCTCTTCTGGAGCCTGACACCCTCTGAGGACACCAGCTTGGACTGTCCAGCACTAGGGGGAATTTTTCTGGCACTATGACTTGTGAACAGCGAGAAGAAACAGAAACCGAATCTATGCTTGTTGCTGCACAAAACTGCACAGCGCTGGGCCTCCATGGTGGTGCAGGGGTTAAAGTCTCTATCAAGCTATCACCAGCTACTGCATCCTGGATTGGATCCCGGGCCAGGGAGCTGACCCAAATAGTGCAGCAGACCTTTCCTGTCTCCCTGCTGCTCTCCTCAGCAGCGTATTTCAGTAGATCTACCTGTTCTGTTCCCTACGCTCTCTGGTGAATCCTCTCACCCCCAATACCTCTGGCTTGTACCCCAGTTCTTGTATGCATAAACAAATAAGAAATAAATATTTTAAAAAAAAACTGTACAGCACTGGGTGGGATCTGGTGTTTTCTCTGAAAGCAAATCAGTGACTAGAGACCCTTCAACATATACCTCCCCCCAGCCCCCAACCAGGCCACTTGTCTCCCTCATCCCTGAGAATCATGCTAGATGGGAGAAAACATGCAGGCTGTGGGCCTTGCAAAGCTAAGAGAAGGTGGCAGGCGCTCACGGAGGTAAACACAAGTGTGATGGGTTTGCCACGCCCACGAGCCCCGCCTGCTGGCCCAGCCCAGGAAGGGACGTGCTGGTGTGTGCTGGGTGCTCACCAGACCCCTGGCCAGGCTGGTCTTTTTACTGGTTGAAATTCTGGAATTCCACCCAGAGTCCAGCTTAAAGCCAATGACCTGCCTCCAAGAGGACTCTGGCCCTCCCACAACCAGCTGAGTGTGCCAGGCTGCGTGGGGACAGTTGGGGGAGGGGGCGTCTGCCCACTGGGCATGTGGGCTGCTAGCAGGCAGGTGAGCACCTGTGAAGTGTTTCAGGTAAAAGGCTAGAGGTGAGTCACCAAGAACTGGCTGGAGCGAATCTACTCAAGACACTTTGAGGATAAAAGTCATTCTAAGAGACAGATTTTTTTTTTTTTTAATGGGACTATTTGTGTTTGAAAAATGGGTGTGGATTCCCGGTAACTCGGAACTTACGTGTGCAGTGTAGGCTAGGCCTGCAAGACGGGACAGGGCAGTCCTAGGGTCTAAGTGCACACGGGCCTGGGGGGAGTTGCGCTTCCTCATATCCCCCACGGCTCCAGGCTCCCCACGGCCTGTGCTGTGAGCTGCCCGCAGTGGTGCCTCAGATAGTTGCACCCGGTGCGTCCCCGGGAGATGTGGGGAACCCTGGGTGAGGCTGCAGTGATAAGGTGGCAGCCTTCTTCCTCCTGCCATTTGAGATCTGGGTCTCCGTTCCTGTGCAACGTCCACTGATACATAGCAGACAGTTGGGCCTTGTCTGTGATTAATGCAGCTGGCGGCAGAGGAGTCCCAGGGGGCAAAAAAGGGAGTCTCAGCTGAACGGGGAAAAGAACAAAACCCTGAACCCAGAGAGGGCCGGTCTGTCCGCCCGCACTAGCATGGGTTCCGGCAGGTGTCTGCAGGTGAGGATGGCGGCGGAAGCAGGTGGAACAAAGCTTCACCACCTCCCCACCTGCTTCCTTCCCTGGCAGGGCACCGGGCCAGGCAGACCACAAAGGCCACCTGTGGCGTGGATTACGCATCAGGAAGCCTGGGTGGAAGAAGAGAGGCAGCAGTCACCGGAACCCGAGTGGACATCCTAAACAGGGCCGAGTCGCTCAGGCCCCCGAGGCTCAGGCCCCCGAGGCCCCCAGACAGGGCGGTGCTCGCGCCCTCACAGCAGCCCACGCAATTCTGTTTACTCATGATGAGCCCAGATTGTGTCCATTGTTCTGATGACGATCACACTGTTTTTTTCTGGAAAAAGACTTTCAGTGTCCTGCGATAGAGTGACTAGGACACTACCTTCTGCTTTAAGCTCCACATGAGGATGCTTTAAAAAAATGGTCTGGAGAGACATCTTGGGACTCTCTCTTTCTGTTCAAGGCTCCAATCAAAAGCTACATAAGCAGAAAGGTAAGTGGATACGTCATCTTGATAAAGTAAAAAGCACTCTACCGCTTTCTGCTCAGCTCCTTCTTCCTGTGAACTCTGAAGCTGAGTAGGATCAGGACTGAGAGTTGCAGGTTCTCGCCCTAAAGACAGTTTCCTGCCTCAGACCAGCCCCCACCCCACCTAGGTGCACAATGATAAGTGTGAGTGGAAGCTTCTTTTATGATAATAACAAATTTTAGTATGTTTGCTATATACTCACTGCCATGACATGTGGTGGGAAG